GGGCGCGGAGCCTTCCCCTCCGCGACTGCTGACCCACGGCTGACTTAATCAACTTCAGTCAAACGCGGCTGGCTTGGGTAACTTATGGGCTGTGGGGGGACCCTCTGTCTTCCCCAGGAAGGGTGTTGTTTTTTTTTTTTTAAATAAAGAGGCGTTAATACAATAAAATCTACCGCGCTGAGCTTCATGGTTCTAGTTAGCCATCTTAAACAGTTTTTCTTTCTTAATTTTATTCAACATGCGGAAGAGGAAAGAAAAAAAAATAGCACGTTTTCATTCTGCTATTAAAATCAGAAACATTTCTAGGTAGTGTACAAAATACACTTTAAAGGCAATGGACAAAAAAACGCCATTCATTCTGTAATGGTGTCAAAGGACAAATATCTGCTTTCATTACAAGCTTCAAAAATATTTTCTCTTTAAACTACCATCCACAAAAATACAGGAGAAGCACATTTTCCAAAATACTGCATAAGCCCAGTGTTCCTGTACTTTCTGAGGTATTTGTCTACACTGCACTTCTCCCTCTTAGGAGACTCCTGCAGTGTAACTCTAACTGGCTGCATTTCCTCCAGGGAATTTTTCAAGTTTGGATATTCCTATCAGCTAAGTAGCCAAGTCCCACTGGTTGCTGCCTTGGCTGCTGGCCACTTTTTCTTTTTTTTTCCCCTAAGGGAATCATACTGGGAGTGCACAATGATAACTGATGTGCAAGGAACATCCTGGAAATCTGTATTAAAATTGTGCTTGATGGCTCACTGAAAAACCACAAAAGCCAAGAAATTCAGTGCTAAACCTGAAAGCCCATGTTCACGTAGCCCATTGACTCTAAATATTTCAACACAGGCAGTATCTGGCACTGCCAATACACAGGAACAGGGGAGGAACATGAGGAGGAGGGATCCGAGTGAACATCTTGGTACCGGTGGTTTTAGTGTAGCCACTGCTGGCAATGGACATAATTGACCAGGAAAATCCAACTCCCAGTGCAAATGGATTAAGGAAGTTTAAGTCTTAAGTCTAAATTTCCTGGCTTTTGTGGGTTTAACTCAGACTCTCAGCGGTATTTGAACATATTTTTGGTGGTTTAATGTCCTGTTTCTAAACAGTGATGGGATTTTTTTTCCACATTCTCAATGAAGTTTGCAAGAAATGATACAACAAAATGTTATAAACCTGAATCTCCTAAATATAAAGACAATGCCTACTAGGTTTTCTGCAATCAGTTCAGTTCATTAGTTTGCCTCCTCTACCAAAAATAAGTAGAAAATATTCTTAATGTGCATTAAATAATTACCAGGCTGGTCATTTCAGTTTAGATAGACCACCACATTTCAATAGCACTTCTTGCACTTCAATTCAGAACAGTTGTAATGCCACATTTTAAACTGTAAAGCATATTTGATTAACTCAGTTTCACAAAACTTGGTGCCATGTTAGCTTCAACAGAAACAAAACTGCTGAGTTACTTGCTCTCTTTTAAAAAACAGATTAGAAGGTTTGCACATGCACACTGCTCCTTAACACTTTAGTGCCCCAAAAAAATGAACTGGAAAGTAAGTCAGGCCTACTACATTTGCTGTTAAGAAGCTACTGTAATATACACCACCCCATACCAACTTCTAGCAATTTCTGTAAACTAGGAACGACCAAAAGTGTAGCACGTGACGCAGGACCTAGCTGTATGTGAGGGAGATGATGTGATCCTGCTCGGGGAGGGCGTGTAGCAGTGTTGGATTTAGAGCTGAAAGTGGTGCCGTTCCCATGAGAAGGCAGGCACTATGTGTTACCCAGGTTCAGCGTACTTCTTCCTTCTTGCACCCCAGGTTTGCAACCTTCACTCCTTGAATGTGAACTGTAAGGGTCCTACTTTGCACTTTTTAAGGAATCAAAGCTCCTACTGACTTCAAAATTGGAGTCTCCCTCAGCCAAGAATGCAGAAACAGGAACTCGGCATTTTGACTATTTAGGCTGAAAATAGAAAGTTTTTCAGCAAAGTGCACCACTGTCTTCCCCTTTCTCCTTCTCTAACAGTCACTGCTAAAAGCACTACCCCTCCATTAAACAGCACCAACTCTCAAGTACGGAGGAGATGCCCCTTGTTTCCAATTCATGTGAAGGATGAATATGCAAAGCCAAGTTCATGTGATGAAGGAAGTTGCTCCATGTTCCAATGAGATTTAAAACTTCAGTGAGTACCTCTGAACTCTCTCTCATTCAAATTGTCACAGCTTGGGAGTGGCACATAAATAATTATAATAAGGCATCTCCTACTCTCATAGCAGCCAGTTAACTGGAGCACTGGTGCCACTTCCTCAGCTAAGGAGAGGCCAGCCAAGGAGTCCCTGCAACCTAGCAGAAGAACTCCTGGCTTTTTAAAAATGCAAACAGTGGAAAGCCTTTTGACATACTTTTCTGTTAAATAAATGTTAACATACTTGCTGTTGGTTAGCAAACAGTTTAATGAAATATTTGCACAGAGGGACTGTGCTTTCTTGATCTGAATCCCAAGTTTCCCTGTCTTAAGTTTCCAAATGTGCATGCTAACATAACTTTTTCCAACCGTCCCTTCCTCTTCAAACAAAACAAAACCCGCTCTGTGAACGTCTCATTTACAAGACATGTAAGAGGTACGGGAAAGCTTCGTTTGACCAAAGATTTATTTGCAGTGCAAGCAAAAAACCAACGTCCTCTTAAATACTGCTGTGCAAACGCTTTGTTCTGAATAACCACCTTCCCGGGCCAGGGGAATATTTAACTCCTTTTTCTTTTTTTTTTTTCTCTGTGCTTAGCATTCCCCTAACATAGCCACGCTGCAGCGCAGGAGTTAGCTCACGCTCTCCAGTTTTCTTGCACTCTCTTTCCAGGAACGCTGGGTACAAATCGCGAGGATTTCACCCTCTCTCTCCATCCAGGCTCTGCAGCCTAGCAGCCCGACGCACCCGCAGAAGGAACATGCAATCCTCCCCCCTCCGATTTTTTTAAAAAAGATCAACTCTGCCTCGTTTGTAAGGAGCTACTTCTTAGCACCGGTGTTGAAGAAAACAGATATATACATAAATAACGTGTAAGAGGTAAATCCTCCCTTCCTTCGGCACAAGCACCCCTTCTTCAAAACGATCCCAGCCCCGCCTACGTGGCTGCCCGAGGAGCCCCCCGCGGACCGGCAGCCGGCAGGCAGCGCCGGGCAGCGAGCGAGGGGCCTTTCCGGAGCAACAGGTCTGCAGCAAGCCTGCCCGCGCCTCCCCGCCTCCCGCTGCGTGCAACTTACTTCTTAACTTAAAAAAAAAAAAAAAGGCAAGGAAACAGCGAACAAGAAGAGAGCCGCGCATGCATGCGATCTCTTTACGCTCCGTCGCCCGCCGCCCCGAGGCGCAGCCCCCTTACCTGCAGCGTGCGGTCCCGGCAGGAGGAAGGCCCGCAGCTTGCCGC